CTTACTATAGATTTACCATCGTGAAAAAGTCACAAAAATAAAAAGTCCCAAAAATCCCTTAAATTACAAGATTAGGTCCTAAAACATGCTGCCAAGTGAATGATTTGGCAGCATGTTTTGTATATTACGTTGCCTATGATAAATGGCTGACATTCCAAATAATTAATTTTTTCTGAATTGTCAGCGTAAGAAAGGACATAACCACATACTATATACATAGGAAAGATACAGAAATAAAGTTCTTGGCTGTTTCGTTCTTTTATTGTTAGTCAGAAAATGCACAGTGAAGTACTCTATCTGTTGCAGGCGGTACTGTGATATATTTCTATAGTAGGGAAGAAAGGATTCAAGGCAAATGAGGAAAAGAAGTTGGTTTACAAGCACAGGGAAGAAAAGAAAAAAAGCTGTCAGAGCTTTCTGTACAGTGTTCCCTCTCTATATCGCGGTTCTCCTTTCACTCCCTCAGTACATCGGAGATTGTTTTTTCAATCTCGCAAGAGTTTCGTTATATTGCATTTTTTATTGCATTTGCAATATTTTCATTGTTTTCGTGATAAAAAAAAACATTTTCTAACTTTAAAAAAAATGTAAAAAATATAGCAAAAAAATAAACCAAAAGGCATCACTGTTAGCTTTGTTTACCTAGAGGAGATCAAACACAGAATTAGCTAATCGTAGCATCTCTCAGCATTAGGGTGACCACCTCCAAACTGACAAAATGCGGCACCAGTAGTAGGTTTGAGTGGGACGATGAGGGACAGCCACAATCACTTAAAGACAACCCTGTTTTTTTACCAGGTAACATGAACATCTCTCACCTTTTACCTCCACAAAACAAACAAAACTCTTGTACCCAAGACATAGCCTAACCGGAAAAGCACACACATTCTTTATTCATTCTTCCACATTCAACATCAAATAAGCAGATAAGGCACACAAAAAATATGACCTGATGTCAAATTCAACAACTTAATTGTAAATAGGACTCTGTAAAACCGTCAACTCCTCTGGACTATAATCACCATCTGTGAGCAAAATATGTTTGTAAAAAGCAGAAATAACCAAGCCCCACTAAACAGATTTTGCATTCCAATCCAGCAGGGGGCTGTCCAACAGCCTTTCTCAGAACTATGATTAGCACGTTTCTGAAACACATTAGTAGCTGAAAAGCAACCAAATGTTAAAACCTAGACTATAACAAGGTTCAATGACCATGAATATATATTTTACATCGTAGTAGAAGTATATACAGCTATGTGCAGAGTAACTTTTACTGCAGCAATCTGATCGAACTCAGTGAAGTTTGATTTTCTGTTGTGTACTTGTTGTGTGAGACTCACCTGCACCATGAGATTCGCTACCATGTGCGACAGGAAAGCCGTTTTTACACAAACTGCAGAATGCTCGTTCAGGATCTCCATCTACCGGTCTCCGCCAAAAGGTGGGGTCTTCTTATTGTCGGCACACTACACGTTCATACCTTCACAGAATCAAGATAACAACACACTACGATTTCAGACGCTGAAATGTTTGGGGTTGCTACGAGTCAGCAGGTTGATTGACACACCACCTCGCCTGTCGGCTTCCGCCCTATCCCGGAAGTCACCTATCGTTGCTATGGACTCCACTGATAGACTGCCCCTAGATGGCCAGGCACAGAAAATAGTTTATTTTCAGTTCGAACGAAAAAGTGGGACAAAATGTCCAATTCACGTGACGCGGGACAAAGGCTAAAATTGTTGTGCAATACAACGTAAGGTGACAGGTGGTCAATCTAATATAATTGCGTTGGAAAAGGTAATACAGTCTAGGGAGGGTTGATAACAGTGTGGGGGAGGTTCGTAAAGGGTAAATATATACGGAAACAATATAATAAGTATCTCTCCTCTACTAAGCGGATGTTCGCTTTTCACTGTGGGTCTTTAAACGCAACTACCGCGACAGGAGAGGGATGACTGTATCTCTATAGCACAGCAGTGAATCAGTCCAGGGCCTTTAAACAAGAGCCACTCCACTTACTCCTGCTGCCACCACTGCCTCCTTAGGTTTTGCTGCATGTTCTGTTTACTTACTTATTTATCCCTCTCTTCCTCCTCCCCCAACTCACCCGTTAATATAATTCCTCACCTAAAAATATCTCCTCGTGCTCATCAGAGAGGATGCTACACAGGAGTAGCTTGTTGTACTTCTTTCCTGCCACTTAGTGCCCCAGTGTTAAGACAGTGCACCTATTTTAACTTGTCTGATAAGAATTTTCTCTGAAAATAACAAGTAAAAAATGTGAACTGCAGTACTTCAGTGACTGCCAAGATCTGCTCTGTATTTAATGGACGACTGGTATTAAATCTCACTTTAGGTTTCATTTAAGTCCGTGTCTATAGGGGGTTGAACTAGTGAGACGCCGACTATAAGCAGACAGGGGTAACTGGGTATTAACTAGTTAAAGACATGCAAGACAGCAGTTTGTGCTATTGTCAAATCCTGCCAAATAAATGTCCAGAACAGAAATACCGTGGCAATAAAAGACAAGAGAACGAGCTGCCGTCTTCTTCAAGCCTCTTCCTAGTTCCTAATTTATTTGAAGCTGATTTGCACCTATGTCCAAACTTTAGAACTGATGCTAACACGGAGAGGCAGTGTTTTCGCAATAGAGGTGTTCAGATTCTCACTGTTCATTCTCTCTCAGCCCTGTGTTTTGTTTTTTTTTTGAGAGAGAAACAGACAAAGAGTGTGACCTTGTGATTATGTCCCAGTGTGATGCTTTGGCCCAGCTGATTACCTGTCAGCGACGTGCAACCACACACTCTTCCCTCCCTTCCAACCCAGCACTTTACCTCACTGTTGTAGGAGGAATATTCTGGTTTAGACACACACACAAAGGCATTAATGGACCCATGCCAGGTCTGGAACATAGGTTGTCTATTAAGTAGTATATTAGGAGATCTCAGTGGTCCGACATTCAGACACTTTGTGTGCCATTAGTGCAGGATATTATGTTGTTGCAGGGACTACACAGCAATACCAAATAAAAGCAGAAACACAGGTTTACACAGACAAAACCATTCATCATTCAGTGAATGCTCTAACAACAAGAAATTATTTCAGTAGCAGACCTGTTTGGAGCATCCACTGAGTCGGGGTCTATCATTTTTCTGCTCCTTACCAAAGTGAAAATGTTTTTGATCTTTACATGTAAGTTGTAATCAAACTGTTGTCCAAATTGTCTCTTTGAAATGCATCTTTCAGGGACTTGAAAATAGGTTGAGATAAAATCACAGTGACCCCCCAAAAAAACATTCATCTTTTGTGGCTAATGTCTATTTTTGGTTCTCCTTCATCTGCAGGGTTGAATCACAGCGGACGTGAACGTGTGACTGTTATTACAGTGGGGCTGGGTTTGCGAGGTGGTGATTAAAGTAAATATTGCCTTTTCCAAATCTGAACTAAGTGTGTGGGAAAAAACATTAACACAATTAAAAAATTAACAATATACTACAACAGCAGGGGTGGGACTCTATCTTCCTAATTCTTAACACTAATTTACAAAATAATACATATACGTATCTGTACATGTATTGGTATTCGATACCCATTCAATACAACTGTCACAGTTCATTACGCATTATGAATTGAACAACACGCATTTTTATATTTACTTATCAACCTCTGATGATGCACTCTGTGCTGATCCATGCTCAACTACAGCACCTTGGGCACCATTGTCGAGCGTAGATCCACTAAACCATGGCTCACACATTTATTCACACCATGGTTCTACATGTGAAATTAACTTCCAACATGGATAATGCCTTAAATCTTGTTTTTGATATCTCCATTTATTATTAGATCAAAGTAGCTTGGTATCTATTAAATATCTAACTGTGAAGCTGAAGTCAAAACTGGACTGTGGATTTTGTGTATCATTGCAGCCCTAATATATATATAAACTCCAGCCCAATAGGTGGCAGTAATGTGCATCAAATTAATTTGTTTGTTGGAAAAAGGATGGGATGCCAGGACGAGTGACTTCAGTGCATAGAAAGGTTTCTTGTAAAATGATCGTAAGAATGATTGTTAGCTTGCTTAACAGCACGGTTTTGTGCAAGATTTGTCGCTCTGAGCATTTAATCTGTAAATAAGACGAAGTAAAAATGCACAGATAAAAGTGAAACATTTCCGTTGATTAACCACGTCAGGAAATTTGCCTATTGTGTCCAATTTTTCTATGTAAGAAAATACTTTTTTTTTTTTGAACGATTTAATCACAAAGCCTCAGTTTAACGCAATTACCGCCCCACTGTGAGTAAATCAGTGCGTGCTGTTTCCGGGCGGATTGCATTTGCGGGTGAAATGTGAAACATGACCTCAAACAAGTTTCTCACCATTAGCCTGTAACACCAGTGATTCTAAATTTGGCAAATATCTTTCCAGGCATTCATCATAGTTGTTGTCATTAAAGACTTGTGCAGTTTTTGCCTGACATACTGTACAAACCCCCAGGGTTTCTTTCTGTTAGCATAACAGCTGCCGCCGCAGAGTTAGAGAGGATGTTACTCGGGTTTTTTCTGTAGGAGACATTTTTGATGTGATTCCACATCTGCTCTCACTGCGGCTGAACTACCACGGTGGTCTACGGGTCGGCTGTTGTTGATGTTGTTGTTTGTCTGTCTGCCATTGGTGGTGTGAACAGTAAACTAATCTCAGCTGCTCTCTCCTGGCAAAAACAGCTGAGTGACAGCAGTGAAGTTGGTGAGAGTCCAGTGGGAGTGAGACAACACGGTACAACTACAAATTAGCAATGTACATAAAAAAAAGAGTAAGTAATAGAAGATTAAAGCAGGAAAGTAAAGAGGCTCTCACTCTTTCTACAGCGATGTTTTAATCATTGGCTTTAGTTCTTCTCCAGTAGAACCCTGTGTTAATTATATACCATTAATGTCTAATTAAGAGCTAAATAAACAAATAGTGCTAATAGTGAAAATAAATAATCGACCAGTTGAACCATGGACATCAACTGATGTCAGAACATTTCAGAAACGTTTTAATCTCTCTGGGTCTGGTTGTCAAATACATACCACAGTCACTCAGAAAGGTTCTGGGTTCAATTCTACCTAATTGGGGCGCCCGGTGCAATACCTATGTCAAATAACTATGGAGACTTCCCATGTGGCAACGCTGAGGAAGAGACAGGCCAAACATCATTCTGTCACTTTTAGATTAGATTAGATTAGATTAGATTAGATTAGATTAGATTAGATAATTTAGATTAATTTAGATTAAGTAAATTAAATCAAATAAGATTATTTAGATTAGATACATTAGATTAATTTAAATTAGATTAGATTAATTTAGATTAGATACATTAGATTAGATTAGGTAGAATAATTTAAATTAGATACATTAGATTAGATTAGGTGGTTAATACAGATTAGATTAGATTAGATTAGATAATTTAGATTAATTTAGATTAAGTAAATTAAATCAAATAAGATTCTTTAGATTAGATACATTAGATTAGATTAGGTGGTTAATACAGATTAGATTAGATTAGATTAGATCAGAACTTTAATGATCCATTTGGGAGATTCCCTCAGGGAAATTCAAATTCCAGACACAGTATGCTAGCAAAAAGAAAAAAAGTAAACAGACTGAACTGTAAATGGCTGGAATGGGCTGTACACATATTTAAATGTAAAGCCCATGCAGCAGACCTCCAGGTGAGACTGAAGAATGAGAATGTTTCACATCAGTGAAGGAGCAGCAGGTAGTCCTTCCATAGCAGGTGCCCAAGGATCTGCCTGAAGGACCTTCAGCAATCCTTACTGCCATTATTTAATTCTGGCTTTAGTAATCCTTGATCACTGGTCTTGTTTGAAACCAGTCCAATAAAAATAATCAGTACAGAAATGGGAGATGTTTGAAATCACGTATGTATTTTCTAACGCAGACCATAATTCTTAGCAGCTTTTTTATTTTTTACATCAATGTATCTTGGAGTGTTTTGAGAATAAAGCAGTGGAAAAAGTCATGTATAAAATGTGTGTCTACAAAGACTGCAGCCCTGAGATCATGAAATATGTACACGTCTGCCCTGATTATTTTATTCTCATTGGTTTGCCATTAAAATCCTTTGCCTCCCCCTTCTCTCTTCCCTGTGTCTCCCACTTCCCTGTCCTCATTACAATCACTGTTTGGACTTCAGTGGAATTTCGATGCGAGACCTTTGCCTCGCTGTGGAGAATTAAACATGCCATGTCCTGACCTTTTGTCTGCAGAGCCTTTCATTCCACTGGCAGGAAACATAGGCCTAAAAAATTCTGAGAAAACGTTATTTTCTGTTATTTAAAAGAAAAAAAAAAATCAGAAAAAACAAAACCATCATCCAGATCAGGTTTTGATTCAGCAGGTTGTTTTTTTCCGCTCTGCTCTGGTTCCTGTCAGTGTTGTTAAATTTCCTAGGATTTTGTCCTTGAGGGAGGAAATGACTATTAAAGACCACCTGGCTGTTCATTTTTAGATTTTAACCACTTATGTTTTATTATTTAGCATTTAACAGTGTGGTCTTCAAATGATGAACTTAAATGACCTCTTCTTCCTCATTTTTTTATTTAAAAAAACATTCTGGCAGAATAAAGCAGTTTAATTCAGTGGTCTCCGACCTTTTTAGTACCAACCTTGAGGGAGGAAATGACTATTAAAGACCACCTGGCTGTTCATTTTTAGATTTTAACCACTTATGTTTTATTATTTAGCATTTAACAGTGTGGTCTTCAAATGATGAACTTAAATGACCTCTTCTTCCTCATTTTTTTATTTTAAAAAACATTAAGGAAAAAAGTAAAAATATATGACTGGATTCTTTTAAAATGAAGTAAATTAGTCAAACTGAAGGACATTTTTTCACTGAGGCCCAGTACCAAATGACCTACGCACCGGCATCGGTCCCCGCACCAGTGGTTGGGCACCCCTGATTTAACTAATGATGCACATTGCAATTATTGTAACACTGAGGCCCAGTACCAAATGACCTACGCACCGGCATCGGTCCCCGCACCAGTGGTTGGGCACCCCTGATTTAACTAATGATGCACATTGCAATTATTGTAAAAACCCAGTTAATCCATTCTTTGGCCTAGAAATATGTCTTTTTTGCTGCTGGGTGAGTAATAGTTAGTAGTGGTCCGAATTCATACAACTCACGTCTATGCCTGTTCGCGTTTGTGAATCGAAGCATCGTTCGCCAAACAAAGCAAAATAGTGTTCGTAGTCCGATTTACCTTTATTTATTTTATCTTACCCTGCTCGTGGTAACTAAAGCCATTTTGCTACCTTCTTTGTTCTACCTATGCAGTGAAGTAATTTTTGTTTTGTTTTTTGGATTCCTGCTCATTGCCTTCTTCATGTGTTTTTGGAGTTTCATGGGAATGTGGTGACATGGGATTTTCATGTCACCACATTCACCTGTTAAATAAACGTACTTACTTACCGCCGTTCTCTCACTCTACTGCTATTGGCTCCTCCACATTGGCTGTATCATTCTGATACGGGTCCAGGTCGGTTGGATTAAACTTGTTCCAAGGTTCTGGATCGACGTTCTTTCTGTCCCAGAGGCTACAGATGAGGAAAGGATTCCGGGCATGGAAAATGAAGAGGAGTGGTAGGGACGAGGAATAAGGCAACATTTACTGTGTGAGAGAGAGAGAGAGAGAGAGGACATGATGAGAAACAAATGGAAGATAATGCAACAGATGAAGAGACAAAAAATACACCAAAACACAGGTGGATTTTAGAGGCTGCTTAGACACAAAAATAGAGACGAGAAGTGATTACGGGATGAACTCAGCCCAGTGAATTGGCATCATTCCTGTGTTCATTAACCAAAGTGCCTGGATTTTATAACACTCCAGTGTGAGAGTCCTTCCCCTCCTCCTCCTCCTCCTCCTCCCCCTCCTCTTCCCTCTGCGGAACCACGACCTGTTGCCAAAGTGCAAACAAAGAGACAGAGAGACTGATGGCCATGTAAGTGTGCTGCCCTCTTCGCTTCATTATTACAAACATTAGACAGACAGAGAGAAAAGCAGAGAAAGAGCCCATGGCCCTCATCACCAGCTGATGATGAGGTCAGGCTTAATTCTGACCCTCTGTACAAGTCGTCCTCTGTGTGTGTGTGTGTGTGTGAGAGAGAGAGAGAGAGAGAGTGTGTGTGTGTGTGGAGGACCTGAGCAGCGTAGTTACTTTATGTAAATAGTCAATCAGCTCAGTGGATGTCTAATGCAATTTGTCATTCAGTCATGTGACATGTAATTGAACCAGCTGGGTCATTTGACAGGGTTGTCTGTAAAAAAAAAGAGTTTTTTTTTTTGTATCATAGAAATCTGTCAAACTGAACTATTGTTGGTTTTAGTTGTGAAGGAAGAAAAGGGGAGGATGAAGAGAGGAGAGGAGAAGACTAGGGAAATTAGTTGCATGAATTTCACACACACATAAAAAAGTAAAGGAGCCTGCACTGCAGGAAGTGAATAATTGTATCATCACTGTCACTTTTCTAAAAGTGGAGCCTGAACCTGCCTCACCCCCAGCACACCTCGCACCTCAGAGTTCAAACAGATACTGCGATAATTTCAGATAAAAAGTGACAGGCCCGTTCTGTAATGTGTACTATGAGTATAAACCCCCCATGAGGTGTAATGTGTACTATGAGTATAAACCCCCATGAGGTACACACACACGCACACACACACACCCAAACATGGGTGATTGTTATTCCTGTTTTCTCCTTTCACTGCCCTCCTCCATATGCATGAGGCCCAGGCCATGTGTGAGGCAGCTCACTGTCAGCCTGGGTTGAATGGGCAAGGACACGGTGGAAGAGAGAGCTGCTGCATGTCACTGGGTGTGTGTGTGTGTGTGTGTGTGTGTGTGTGTGTGCCAGCCGCCGCTGCTGCTGCTGCTGCACACTGCTGTATACCTGTCACACAGCAGACCAGCTTCACACACACTCAGAGCCCGAGTCTCTCAGACGCACAGATCTGCCCACTGTAGCAGCGAGCTCCCACTTTCAGCGTTTGTTCTCAAACACACACGCACACACACTTCAATTTGATGTTTCCAAATGACAGACATTAAAATAGAAAGTCATCTAACACCGAGTTACCGAGTCTGAAGGTTACGATGACATGTCACCTCCGACCGCCCTGCTGCTTGGGAGAGACTGGAGTCTCTCTGCCCTCTCCGGGTGTTTCATCAGGACCATCCACCGTCTTGCACCGTGTCTCCACTGCGCGTTTCTGTGAAGGCAGAGACGGAGCGTCTCGGCAGCGGTGAACAGATGTTCTCTGCCCACACGGATCCCGTCAGGCTGTACAGAGATGTCAGATTCATGGGGTTGAACTGAAGGATGTCTCTGCTCAGCTGTGTCCAGACATCTGTCTTCTGTCTGATTGCATTGTCACTTGCTTTCTTGTTGATTAGCACCATGTCTAGTGACCAAGTTGGAGCTGGTGGAGAGCTGCATGGTTGACTCTCACGCCACTGACTTGTGCCGTTTTCACACCGCCACTTCGCTGCACAGCGACACTACATGTGAACAAAAACATCAGAAATTTAATGTACGTTTCAAAGTCTAATGCATGCTCATCTAGCGCCACCTGAGCATATCACTCACATGAAAATGTTTAAAAACAAGAGCTTATTATTATTTATAGGTAATTATGTGATGATTGTACCAGTCCGGCCCACTTGACATAACACTTGACCTAATTAGGCTGCATGTGGCCCCTGAACCAAAATGTGTTTGACACGCGTTATTTATGTGATTCTTTATTTCTCCGAAATTTCTCAGTAACCATTATTTTCAATATGCAAATATTTCTGTCTATTTCTTTCCTTTGTAGAGAGGGAAAAAAGCACAGATTTCTGACCCTGCATTTTTTAACAATGACTACGTCTGAGTTCCTCATTCACAGCAGCAGCAGCAGCCTGGGTTCAATTCCAGACCGTCCCTCCTACACACTGTGCCCAGATAAATGAGGAGGGTTTCATCAGAATGGGCTTAACCACTGTGCCAATATCATTACATGGATTATCCACTGTGGTGACCCACCGAGACGCGGAGAAGCCAAAAGTGATTTTTCTTCCATGATACCTTTCGATTATGTGATTTCAGGCACTTAGGATGTTGTTACACAAAAAGTACACAAATGTCAAAAAAGTGTGAGGACTGACAGCAAAGACTGGCTTCAATCACTAGACACAACCACAGCCGTGCAATTAGACAGAAACAGGTCAGCTTTGATCATTTACACACACACACACACACAGACAGAAAGACATGTGTTTTGGGAGCTGTCCATTATCCGGTGCTGATATCTTCATATGATGCCAAAAAGGTGAGAAATTCACCTTTCACTATTCAGCCTGTCTGGTTTAGGAAGTGTTTTAGTCTTAGTTTGTCACTGTTGCTGCCCTCATTACTTCTCTGGTGTACTGCCAAGCCAACCCTGTCAATCCTCAAATTTGGGTCACCCCCAACAAGGCGCAGAGGCAACAGGGAGGTGGGGGAAGAAGAAGAAAAAATTCAAGGACAGACATCTTGTATCTCTTTCTGTCCTTCTCCACTTATTATAAATGATGTTGCTAACGCATCTTGAGAGGCTGACGAGACAAAGGGAGGACGCAATGTCATAGTTTTACGGTTGGTAATAGACACGGTGTTGAGAAAATACTATAATATTACAACATACAGTATATTATACTATAAATGACCATGTACCTGCACCAAACGTATAATCACTACTAACACACTTGAAACTCCCATGTTGGATTATGGGAGATTTCTTCCTTGGCTAAAAAAAATCAAACAAACCACATAAAAAGGTAAAACATGATCCACTTTTAACTGATAAATATATCCCTGTGACTGAACACTAGTTGGCTCCACTACAGTGGGTTGGACGGTGCTGTGAAACTTGCTGCCAACTCTGTAGTTTCCTCCCATTAGATAAATGAGAGGACTGTGGGGGAGAAGGGGGGGGGGTCTGATATTAAAGGACTTACTGTGATGTCCTGGGGGGGAGGTTGTATATAGTTTGGACTTTTTTTGGGATATAATCTGGTTATATATATAATCTCGACTTAACCTGTGACTTGACTTAACCAGTGACTTGACTTGACTTAACCTGTGACTTGACTTACCAACAAAATTACCTGTGACTTAACCTGTGACTAATGCTTGAGACTTGCACCTCAGTAACTTTCTTTGATAACATTTCTGATACAAATCCACTTGTTAGCATTGCAAAATAATCAGTGGTGACTACTACTTTAGAACAATCCCTCTGTGGTGGTTAAATATTAGTAAACCGTATCACAGTGAAGAGAATAAGAATAAATCTGGTGCTTAAACATGGCCCTTGGGTCTAGACCGTTGACTCTGGTATGATAATGGCAATTGATTAGTCAGTATTGCTGCGGCCCAGGTTCCTTAACAACACTTTGTAACCTAATATAATTAACACTAGGTGCTGTGCTGGCAGAATGGTCCAGGCCATTACTATTCTGCTTAAATTGTTTTCCCCCACACAGCTGATCTTGTTTACGCTCATAAGAAGTTTTGTAAGTGGATTTTCTGTGGCTGCTGCTGATGTTCTGGCCCTGTTGGCTGTATACGCTGAGAGGTTTTACGAATGGGTTCAATTGTCCCTTAAAAACATCAAATGTAAGTATTTAAATCTCCTGATGTTAGAGTAGACAAACTCAGATTTGTGTCAGTCATTTAACAGTTTATGAGACCTGTGGTGTTCCAGAGAATCCTATTGATTGGTGCTTGTGGCCCCGTGGTAAGACGACCAGGCGAAACATGAAGATCCCTCAAGTGCACACTACTCCCTAAGGATGAATTAAATGTAATATATGTGTCCATTTATGTAGAGCTATAAGGCCAATTCTTCTTTTCTGTTGCCCTTTAGGTTCAGTTATGACTCATTGACAGGGAAGTACCATCATCCTAACAATTCCTCGAGTCTCCATCGGTACATCCTGCAATATTTGGAATCCTCATTAAATTTCCCAATCTTCAGCTTTAGTTTACTGTACCGAAGTTGTCTGATGTTTTTGGGGTGATTTATGCAGTGATGGCGACATCCTGCTGTCTTCTAAGTCACCCTAAACTTGTTTTACCCGACACTTGTCTGTGCAACAATTGCTATTTCTGTATACCACATGACAAGGATAATGGGTGCAATTTTTCACCCAGCAAGGATGGAGAAATTGATGAAGGCTTCCGCGAGGGAAAGGATTTCAGCAAAGAAGGATGGAGGAGGGAGACACATCAACAAAAAGGAGAAGAGAAGAAAATGGATCAATACGTCACCTCACTCTCCTCACCCCGACCATGGTCCCCCCATAATGCAATGATACCTGGAAATTTGAAAGAAAAGAAGTATATTAATAGTGATATTAACAGTGCATCTTCTTTAAAAGTACTCTTAAGGTGATTAAAATTGTACAGTAAAATAACCCTAAGATCTTAAATTTGATTCTAAAATGGATGAAGGAGTTTGAAGGGCTGGGATAAGATGCTGTGTGAAGATGTTCTCGTGCCTGCATTCTGAACTAATTAGAGTTCATGGAGGGATTTTCTGGGGGGTAAACCCTGGAGCGGTGAAATGCAGAAGTCAAACCAGGTTATTGACTAAAAGGTCAATATCCAAATCTGTGAAATAAAGGCTTTAATAAGATTTTCCGTTCATTGTGAAAACAGAGGCCTGGGCTTACCTCTACTATACTTCCTATAAATTCCACATCCACACAGTCCTGGAAGAAACCAATTAAACGGATCTGACCCTAACCCCAATCTTAACGTTACCCTAACCCTAATTCTACCTTAAACTTAACCCAAACCAATCCTTACCCTAACCCTAGTGAAACCCTATATAAAGACACAGGCTGATGGTCTGTGTCACTAATGGTGCCAACTTACCTCAAGGGTGATTTTCCTTTCGGCATGACCACGGGGTTGGGTCTAGGGCTGGGGCAGGGGAATAGTTTGGGTCACCCGTATACTGATGAAAGGGCTGGGGTGTATGACTAAACTATGACTATTTGGGATTAGCTAAATGTTTCTAATAACTTACTGTAAGACACATCATCAGTAGAGGATCAGAGGGTCATCGAGTGTTGCATTCACTATCTCTAGACACTCTCCCCTTAGGAAGGCCCCTGCTGAGGTTGATGATGCCCCAGGGTGAACCTGAACCCTAATTTGACCCTAATCCTAATCTTACCATTACCACAAGCCTAATCCTAATTCTATTCTCAACCCTAGCCCTATTCCTTATTTGACCAAATCCTAAAACGAATGTTTGGGATTCAACGCTTTTTCTAATAGATGCTCTGGAGAAACCTCCTCTAGGTATTAAATCATGCTATGTACTGTATATATGTATGTATTTGAGGACATTATGATAGCCCACAAGGACCCTATGATGTCTTACTGTTTTACTACTGCATATTTTTACAGGTACTGCAATATTTACATTGGTTGGAAAACAAACTGTAAAGAGTATGATTAGGAGACAGAGATAAAACATTATACGTTTAAAATTTTTTAAAAAAACTTTAAAACATGTTTTCTGTTCATTTCATGGGACAGTGTCCTCTCTGTGACACTCCAGTCTAAAACATCCAAGACACACAGGAGAGTCATCACGTCTTTTCCCATGTACAAATAAGAGCTGACCCCAACATGTGACCCCTACAGAATGGCTGTCAAATAATAAATGTCCTGGCTGCTGAAATCTCCTGTTCCTTGATTGTATAGAGATGGACACTGTTTATTTTGAATCTCGAACAAGAAGAAAGACGACAAATGCACAGATAAATATAGATGAAGAATCCATCTTTCAGTTTTAGCCCTCAGAGTTGGCAGTTTAGTAGAAAAGGTTTTTTTTTCAGAAAGCCTTGTTGCATTTTCTAACCTTAAAAATGAAAATGTTCCCTACGTGTTGGAAATTACAGTGACACCTAAAGGTCACATTATAGTAACACACCATTTTTGGAGTCATGGCACACATTTTAGAAAAATCTAAAGTAGTAGAAAAGTGGTTAGTGTTTTGGTCTGTGAACCAACTACTGGTGCGAGCCCACCCAGGGACGACATTTAGCCTGCTGCAGCGCCTCGAATTCCTGTGGTTCCATAGTATAGCGGTTAGTACGCCTGCCTTACACAACTGCCTGACACACAACGACCTAATAGGGGACTAAAAAAAACTTCTAATCTCAATTTACCTATAATTGACTTTCTTTTTTTACCCATTGTGTTGAATAGAAGGCTGTCATACTCACAGGAGTTGAAGAAAGAGTCGCATGAAGTTCTCTGACTTTGTCTCTTTTCTAATTTTGTATAGACATCTGCCGCCACCTAAAGGAAGAGTATGTTATTGTTCTGTTTTACACAGTAGCAGAGCCAAACAGAATTATTTTAAGTAAATAAAAAAATAATTTTCGGACAATTCAGTAAAATATACTTACTTTTTCTAGACAAACCTGACATGGCCCAGAGGTTGGATATATTTGCAGTAAGGTGTGTTTACACAGGGTTCTACATTTGCTCATATTCTAACTAATATTTATTACAATCCTAGTTTAAAAAATGTAATTAAAAAAATTAACAAATATTAAAATATGGTATCCTTTTTTTAGTTAATTAAATATAATACATTGAACCTTCCAGTGGACTCACCACCCGCAGGAAGGTTCAGGGGGGTTGATAAGGTGCAGTGTGATTTGTGTGGAGGTCATGGAGACTGCGGATAAAAATGGATGGATGGATAATACATTGAACTGAGTTAAAGTTGCTTTAAGTATAAGAGATAACAAAAGTAAACAGTTGTGTTTTTAGGAGTTTAAATAACAAGGTTCTTAACAACCACCTCCACAGAAGCATCACATGTATGCGGTAGAACTTCTTACCATTAAGAGAACAGAATTAGAACTGAAAGGACAAGCGTTTCTTGTTCAACAACACTTGACCATCAGGTTTTGTTTTTTTTTTCTTTTTTTTTTCCTTTTAAGAAGTCCACGTCTGGAATTACAATTATCCATCTGTGAATGATCTGGATGTAGTTTCTACGGTGAGTGCACGTGTAGGATGTAGTTATGCTCAACTGTGGCCGTCATTATTTCGCTGAGCAGAAGGTGGAGGAGGGAGTTGTTCTTAAAGCAGAAGGCTTTTTAGCTAATAGCCATGTGTGTGAATGTAAGCATGAAGAACAAAACAATCTGTTTACAAGTTTGTCAGGAGCCATTAAAACCACGCAATACACAAAAGCGCGCGCATGCACATCGGTTTCCATGGTTTGTGGGGACAAACTTTTTAATTATCGTCTGTTTCATCATCCCTCAAACAAATGAATAACTAAAGATCAGAAAACAGCCAGCGTAGACTCTGTTGCTGCTATGTGAAGTGGAATTTGTAGTTGTGACCAATTAAGAAATTATGATTAATCACATTTTGATGAAATAGAAGAATTTAAATCTGAAGTTTTAAAGTTAATATTCATATTTTTTGTTTTCCTGTAGGCTAGGATTTCTGCAGTAATAAGAAAAGCAGTCTCATATTTATTCACCAAACTTTCTTGCCATGTTGACATCATTGCCACCAACGTGCAAAAAATAAGTAAAAAAGGTGAAGTAATTAAAAAGGGTGTGATTAAATGTCTGTTTTTGTTTTTTCCCCTTTTCTGTTTGTTTGAATATGAACAAGTAAAGGAAACAGGCCTAGTTTTATCTTGATAAATATGTCTGTTAAAATAAAATAATAAAATCGATTGCCGGAAAGTGCAGGAGTTGCTTTAAAGGCTAAAGATTAGCAATACATCATAAAAAGCTTAACATAACAATTTGCTCCTAAATATCAATTCAGTCAAAGAAATGTGGTAGAAGGAGGTAAGAAAAACACAAAACTTTAACAAAGTAAGACAGAATTAGCCAAGAACAGCTACAAAGTTCAAAATAGCTTGCTAGTTAGCTAGTAGCCGAGTTAACATAAAACAAACCGAGTAAACAAAAGAAGAAAACATTCTCAAATGTTAAACTAAAAGCTGCTCAAAGCTAGCCAAAACTTTAAGAAACTGAGCAAAGTCAGCATGAAGCTAACCGATGAAGCTCAAATTTAATTGACACAAAAAGCCTCTGGAATGTTTTAAATGAACAAAACAGACCTTACAAAGCAGCTCAGGGTCGCTGGAGTTTTCTCTGTATCACCAACACACACACACACACACAGTCCAAACAGACACTTCCAACCAGAAACGCTCTGTTTGTTTTCAAAATAAGATGCGCAGTCTCACATTTCAAACCTTCCAACTTCCCTCCTCGGCAACACTGCGCTGCAGCTAATGGTCAGGAGTGCGTTGTGAGTAGGACTCACCCAGTCCTGCGACTTCTACAATCGCTCTGATGCATTTTTTCAAAGGATCTGTGACACAAATGCCAAAAGCACAGAGCTTCCATTTCCTCCAGACAACACACACTTTTTCCTCACTTTCTCTCCGTCTGTGCTTGACTTTCTCTTGCATTGTTAGATTTGTGTTAAAAAAAAACTGTTCTGCACACGCACAGCTCCAGCTGACAGAACTGTGGCAGTGCTGAAGGTGTGTTTGGGGGAATTTTGTAATAATAAAAAAAAAAATTCTGCCTGAAACTCCACAGTCTCTCTTCTGTTCTCACTTTGGAATTTTTTATTTTTTTTTCATTTATTCCAGATATTTCTGTAGGATGAGGTATGTGTCTACTCGCCGTCCGTAGTGTAATGTAAACCGTAACCGCAATAAAATATGCAGAAATTGATGAGCTGGCACATCAAAGAATGTATTCACACCTTTAGGTTTACAGGTGTTGTTTGTTTGTTTGCAAATTCAGCAACAGCACTTTTTAACACCAGATGTTTCATGACAAGGTAAGAAAAAAAAAATCTCACATGTGAAAAACCTAAAGTCCTGAAGAAGAAAGAGATTATTAATTAGTTCTATTTTATTTTATTATTTATCTTCACAGTGTAGAATAACAGTTTTTGGAGTTTTTAGAGGCCTTCAATGAAAACTACACATGATTTTGCCAGTGCGAATTTAGCATTAGCTTCGTAAAGATGCCTTGTACTGTGGCTGCAGGCGTGTAGAACAACTGGAGTTGGTGTATATTGTATCAAATGGCCTGATGTCATAATAGAAAAGGCAGTGCTACGTATGAATATGAGGGGAATAATAGCGCCCCCCCCTCCCTCTGTCTGCGGGTCTTGATGGAAAATCTCATTTTATTGCCACAATCATAATGGAATTATCTGCAGGTGTGACGGGGGCATTTAATGAAATCAAAGGATTACTTCCTCTTTTTCACACGCTTATTAAAAGACCTACGTGATAGAAGCCATGGTGACAAGGGCCTTTTTTTTCTTTCTCTCTTTTCTTCCCCTTTCTCCAGTCTGACTGATTTTTGTGTTTGTCAGTCTGGCAGTTGCACCATTTGTGGCTGGCATAAAAGCCTGCAGGGAGCCACGAGGTCTGATTGGGGAATCTTGGGGAGAAGAACATGAGGAAGAAGATGTAGAAAAAAGAAAAAAAAACACGTTGATTGCTGTTGGGTTATATTGATGCATTTTCATGCCCTCAAAGCCCATATAAAAAAGTGTTTTTTTCAATAATTGCTGCAGTTTGATGCATCATTTCTGTTTAGGCAACAATGAGAGGCTCCATTATTTTTTCTCTTCGTTCGAGCTGTATCTGTTCACCTCCTCAAGCTCTTCCAGCTTTATTAACCGTCACATGACTTCACCACTTCATGCTATTGAACTGTATTTAACCGTTCTGTGGTAATCGCATGGCCGAGGGGAAGAAGTGCACCGTGGATGTGAGGTTTAATATTTAACGCGGTCAAATCATCTATTACCGCCACGTCCATAATTCTCTGTGATGGAGTCCTCTATTGTAAAATCAATGCGTCTTTGCCCTCTTACCACTTAATATTTCTCCATATGGCAACAGAGCTCTGATTCGTCCTTCATCAACCTCAGGTGGCCTCGGGATTTCCAATGCGTCAACAATTGTTGTTGAATATAACTTAAATCCTTCTCTCTTTTTTTTTTTGAGCAATAAAAAACGTGTGTACTTAAGAAAGAAAATAGATTCAGCTGCAAACCACTAGAGGGAGCCGAAGCCCAGAACCCCTGGGTTAGCGTACCTTAGTTTAAGAACTACTGCCGTTATTAATCTTAATATAATGTTACACATGCCACATCAATCAATTAAAAAATAGGCACGTTTTGCCACATTTTTATTTTCATAGCAGCTCCCCCTAAAGGCAGTTGAAGGGAATAGATGATTTTCAGGTCATTATTCATGGCCACTACTGTCCTACCTACAACGGTGTGTTTACATTTCTATCACAGCTGATACTGTCGCCTTCATTAAAGCAGCTAGAACCAGTGTCACCACACAGACAAATGCTAAACGCACACGGAAGTCATCAATAAAAATTAAAGGTAGAAAAACAAAGGCAAAAACAACAAGGAGCGATTTCTGCACATTGAGCACTTTTACTCCCGATGCTGAACTTGATGTATTTCCGTGAAAGGCAGAGAGTGGCTGAGTCATATTGCGCACGCCGTCAACGTCAGCTGACAGCAGGAGTGAACAATGGTTACTTTCACCGCTGTTGTCAGGCTGTGATGAATGGCCGCGCCTAAATACTGAGGAATAATGCCTAAAAAACCGAAATGAATGGGAGTTGTGAATAAAAGTATTAAACACTTTTGGAGTGCCTGGTCAGCACCGACTCCTGTTAGCTAAGAAGAGGGAGGAGGGGAGGGCGGAACAGACCAGCAGGCGAGTGGCAGCGGCACAGTGGCACGAAATCAAGCACTCAG